GCTAGATGGCCGCTTGTTTACCTTCAAGCTTTTAAGACCCCAGATGCTATATCTTTTTGATAGCTGGGCACCATTAGCTTTCTTCACCACATTTGCTTATTCACCCGCTTTATCTTCAGTGGTTGTGTCGGGAAGGTGAGCATCATAGAATTTGGCAATATTCTTTCTGATGAATTTTGTCTTTAGAATGCTCTGGCAATAGAAAAATTACACTAGGTGGATATAAACAAAGAACAGCAGAAAATGTAAGTACTTAGCTATAAAGGTTTTATTATTATTATTTAAAAGTAAGTTTAGAGACCCGAAAATCTTTTCCTCCTCCATGGATTGGGCTGTTCCCTTCCCGCTGATACACAATCGAGGGCTTTGATTTTGTTGTTCATTTGGTTGGGTTTTTTCCTCAGCAACATGAGTGTGGCTGTAGCTTCTCCCCAAAACCTTCTTGAGGCTTCCGATTCTAAAAACTCATCACCAGTAACTACCAGTTTGGGGGCTAAAGAAGATGGTACATCCTTGCAAATGTCGTCTGCCGAGCCCCCCTACTCAGAGACAGCCAGGTCTCCACTTCCTTCCTCCGTGGACCTGCTTCTGCAAAAGAGCCCGGATTCTTCCACCAGTCCCAAAGTCAAGCTGCCCGCCTCTGCGGAGACGGACGCAGCCAGGAAGGAGAGTAAGGGCCAGGGCAAGAAGCAGAAGGTGCGAACGGTGTTCTCTCAGACGCAGCTGTGCATCCTCAAGGACCACTTTCAGAAACAGAAGTACCTCAGCCTCCAGCAGATGCAAGAACTTTCCGAAGTCCTGAATCTCAGCTACAAACAGGTGAAGACCTGGTTCCAGAACCAGAGAATGAAATGTAAGAGGTGGCAGAAAACCACCAACTGGTCCAAGAATAACCATGCTGTGACTCAGGTCTCTGCACCTACAGAATGCCTGGACGTCTGTGCTTCCTACCACCAAGGATGCCTTCCTTCTGGAAACCTGCCCATGTGGAGCAACCAGAGCTGGAACAGCCAGGCCTGGAACAACCAGACCTGGAACAGCCAGGCCTGGAACAACCAGGGTTGGAATAGCAAGACCTGGAACAACCAGACCTGCCACAGCAGCCAGATGTGGAATAGTAGTCAGATGTGGTGCACCCAAGCCTGGAATAACCAGGCCTGGAACAGTCCGACCTGGAACAACCCATTCCAGAACTGTGGAGAGGAATTCCTGCTGCCACAGTTCCAGCAAACTTCTCTCTGTGATCTGGAAGCTGTACAAACATTAGATTTCTTTTTAAATGAGTCCATAAGCGTACAATCTGAAGATTGTATGAAGACAGACATTTTAGGCCCATGCCCATCCGGGCAGTGACTGCGTGACTTCCTTTTTTATAGGACTTCTTGCTTTAGAACGCTCTTGCCTTGATAACCTGGTTTTCCTTGTTCCTACTGTATGGCCGGGGGGCTGGGAGGGGAGGGCAGGGTGGGGAACAGGGTGAAGACTGTGGTTTCGATTTAACCAAAGATTCAATAATATGACGGTTTACCTTGGTTACTCTGCACAACATGATAAGCCATGTCCCTGCCTATAAATAACCATGTAGAACACTACCTTGAATGTTTTTAGGATCTAGCCTCAATAATAGGGCCTAAAAGTGTAGAACAGTGTGTGGTAAAGGATTATTTGTGATGGATAGGTTTTGGGAGTCTTGCTAGACAATTTAGGGGTAGGGGAAGGTTAAGCCATAATCCGCTTAATTGATTTCCTCTACCCTTCTGCTCTGTTTTAATTATAAACCCTAGCCTGTTTCTTTTTCGTATTTTGTTGCATCATGGTAACAACAGTACCAACATCACTGGGTGACTTACAAATATTGGTACACACAAATAAAAAGAATATCCACTTGACCATTAAAATAAATAAATAAAATAAAAGTAAGTTTAAAGAATTACCTGTTAGAGAAAAAAAAAAAAGAAGAACTACCTGTTTAGGATGGGCACAGACTCAGGCTTACAGATCATTCAGTCTGTGGCCACACAGCCTTGTAGAGAGGCCGGCTGGTGCCCATGAACCATGCACCATCTACTGCAGGTGTGTATCTTGAAGGTCACTTGGATGAGGGGCCCTCACATCAACTGGGATCAGATTGTCAAGGGAGAGGAGGGGGAAATGACTGCGTAGTGGCTGCCATACAAAGTTATGATGAGGCCCAACCCCACCCTGCCCTGCACTGGCAGACTTTTCTATCAGAAGGGTGAGGGATACTGATGGCGATGTTAAATCAGGTTGGGAGGGAAAGGGAACAGATATGTCTGGGAGGTAACAAGTGCTTGACTGTTGGTAGACAAAGGGGGAGGATCAACTTCCAAGTAGGGACAATGCAATGACTAACTACTTTTAAGGACCCAAAGGGGAGTATGCCTGGTAATATGCACCTAGTAAGCCACATTGGCCCGAGTTTCTGGACACAACTGCAGACCCAGACCAAGTGCCATAGAACACTGGCTATTGAATCCAGGTTCTTCAAGGGGTACAACTCCTTCCAAATGCCATAGCAGAGGGATCCATTCTGGAAACTCCACTGGGTGAACTGGACACTACCTCAAACACACCTGTAGCTTGAGGACTTAAGACTGAAATTACATGGTGCGTGAAGAAGCAGAAGACAGCTATACCAAGAGTACTGAACTACCGGTAGGCAAACCAACATTGACTTAGCACATCAATGCTCGACTTGCTTATTAAGCTATGTATTATTCTGGCAGACTTGTGACCGACATTGTCAATGAATATTATTGCAAATTTTTCCAGACAACCTACTCCCATTGTTTGTGTAAACAGCATCAGCCATGTAAGGATTTATTCTGTACAAATGTACAATTCAGGCACTGTGACATATAGGTGACCTACACTTGTTCATTCTCCCTCTCTCAATAGTGTTTTAAAAATTAGTAACACGGGCTAATCAATGACATGTTTTACAGAAGATGCTTATACGCCAGGGAAATTTTTGATAAGACTCTCTACCATAAATTAAGAAGGCGCTCTCTAAAGGGAACAAAGCAAAGAAAGATAAAAATCATAGATCCGTCCACAGAAAGGACCACATGGCCAGCCCCACTATGAGACATGACACCCCTCACTGACCCATAGCTCTACAGGGGACAACACCAGAGACACAGTGTGGGGATTTCACCCGATCTGATCCTGCTACACTGAGGCAAAACACTAAGGGGGTGCAACAGAACAGCAAGGGAATGGAGCGGCGAGGTCCCAAGGGAATTCTGAAGGTCGACTTTGGACCCAGGACGTGGTGCCCCAACAGACTAGGCTGGAAAACACTCCTAAAGGCCAACAAACAGGCTTTGAACTAACTACAAACTTTTCTTTCTTCTTGTGTTTTGTTTTGTTTTTGTCATTGGTTTATTGTATATTGTTGCTTGGTTTTGCTCTGTCTTGTTTTTGTGCATGTTTTATCTCTGCAGGTCCGTCTAAATAAGATAGGCTGGATGAACAATCTG